AGAGCATCACCACGGCACACACCGCAAAATCAGCACCGCAACGGCCTTGGTTCGGTATCACCAAAACCTGCCCATTGGCCTCGACCACGGTCGATCAAGGCAAGCTTGACCGCGATTCAACTCCACGTCGTCCACTTGACCGAATTCATGTTACCTGTTCATCATAAATGATGTTTCCTGCCATGGACCCCCCCTACCTGGGGCTGCATAGCCGCGGGTGGCAGGAACTCGACAATATTTTTCCGTGTCTTCAATTATTGAAGCACTCCGTCCTTCCGGTAGCAAAGGGCAAAAAAAAGAGGGACAAGTGTTCACGGGAACACTTGGAATATTTAGAAGCCTGTCGTGGACTTCGGTCTGGACCTTAATGGGTGGGCTTGGAAGCCTCACGAAGTGGGCGCATTCGGCGAATGAATCGGAAAGAAGCCAGCATCGCACACCCCCCCGAATAGGGTAATGCCCAACTACCAGGGTACCGATTGAGACCAAAATTGGCCTGTCAAAGGAGCTGCCAGCAAACCAAACAACACCAAAGTCCGCGCCGTCCTTCCACCAACGCGGACAGCCATATCCACTCAGAGATCCCAGCTACTTTTGTAAAACATGCTGCAGAGACAAAGAATCTCGGGATTTGTACTAACCGGTCACTTGTGAGCTGGTTTTTGAGAATGCGGGGATGGGGAATGAGCTCTTTAGCCAGAACCACTGACTCACAAGGCACCGATGCGACGTCGACTTCCAGCCATGTAAAATGCCATTAGGTGTTTCGTGTCGCACATCGTCAACGTCAATGCGAAATTTTTGCCGGTTACCACCTTCGGGTTCATTTGCCCGCCCCGGGGAATATGTTGTTTTGCATTCACACAATATTCCGGGATACGTGTGAGCATGATTGTGTGCCTGATCATACGGCAGATTGGTGCCGGCCACGTTCCGATATCGCCTGTTGCGCCGTCGATGTGCCATACTATTACTATTCAGAAAAAGCTTTACCATCACCCCTCAATTATCGTGAACCACGACGTCCAGAAAAAAGCATCCACCATCCAGCCCGCTCCAGGAAACAAACCTGAGTATAATCACCCACAAGGCTAACCATCCATCCATGTTAGTAATCCCGGAGCGTTTCCTCATTTTTTTCTTGTTCCTAGGCCCGCATGCGCGTCGGCCCTCCGAGGGCTGCATTTTTTCATTGTATCTATGATGCGTGTGGGATGGACGGGTGTGTAGGCACCCTCCCACCATCAAGAAGCCAAGATGCTTTTTGGTGCCGTGGCTTACGAAACTAACTCGCATCCTAAACAGCCTCACAGTCATACGAAATATTAGCTCATCGCGCAAGCCCATACAGGTACTACGTAGCTTCCCTCCTGCTTTATGTTTATTTCCGGGTGGACAAAATACGCATACTGATGGCACATCTCTCTTCAGATTCATCCCCCGTGAGAGACTTCAAAAATGAAAGCCGAGATTTCAGAGACAGAGAGGCTAGGTAGCTTCGCCGCAATAATGGTCAATGCCGACAAAGCCGTGGATGGTATCAAAAGGCCTGAATGATGCTCTCAGACGAGGTCAGATGTGTTCTTTAGCCCTTGCTAAATTGTCTCCATCATTTCCATGCATGATATGCCAGCCGATCGCCGTCTCTGGATTAGCGCAGTATTCTTATAATTGGGTCCTTGACTCAGGCTCCAGATGTTGCTCTGTCCTCAGACTGCGAAGTTTCTAGATGTTGCGGCACGAAACCCGTTGGCCTGGCCACTCGTAGGCACAAGCTTGTTCCCGTGGATCGTGAACCATGTCCCACGTCCCACGTCCCAGGCCTTGCACGGCGTTGCCGCAAGCCTCCCACCACACCGTGACAGGTCTACAAAGGACGCCGACAATACTATTCAGAACACGTGTGCACCGCGATCTACATACCCGGCGTCATTCCCGTGTCTCTCTGCTGGTCCAATCATTCAGGACCAAGTAGTAGTGGAACTAAAAGTTCGGGGTTCAAGTGCAGTCAAGGCGCTTATTTGTCTGCCTCTTTGTGACATGTCCCGATCAGGAAACATTTCATCCGGAATGCATTCTCAACAAAACAATGGCGGCGGGTGACCCATTTGTAGTCTGTAGACTTGGAATTGAAGGTTGTAATTCTTCCCCGCCACGGAGCCTGTTCTCCGGTAGCGAATCAGTCGGGGACGTCAGTGGCGTCTGCCTTGGTCATTATCACGGCAATGTTCATTTGTTGCCTGTATTGGAAAGGGGAATCCGAGCAGAATAATGCATAAAAGTCGCAAAGCATTTCTAATTTGTTTGGCTTGCCTCTAGGGTAAGCGGGCGCCGTATGATTTGGGCGGAACACAAGAATCATTCTATACATTTTACACGCATCGAGCAGGTATTGTTGTGGCTTAATGCTGCCTTGGCCTGCACAACCAGTGGCACAAACCTGCAGCAAATGTGAGGGTTGAAATGTCAGACTCAAATGTTGAAGCTCAAGTACGGCTCCGCATTTGGCCCAAGATGTCTATAGTCTCTATGCCATGTGCAGTGCCCTTTGTCGACACTCCCATTCTACTTACTTGGTAGGTACTCGAGTATGTGCTGCCATCCTCCATGATGAACCTACAAAGGGAGTTGGCTACCCGGTTCCGCGCTGTCATCACGACATGTTTGTCCCCCAAGTGCATTTGCCAGCACGCAGATGGGTCGATCCGGTTCCAAAGCCTGGTCTTCTGTTGTCTCCCTCCCCCAATGCAAATGACGAGCAGAAACGCTAGTCGTGCCACGAAATGTACAGCATGATCCCTGCGCCGACGGCAACAGCAGTGAACTGCACCAGCGTCTTTCGAAGCTCCTGCACCTTGTTGGGTCCCGTCTCCAGGAGCTCCGGGATGACCGCCACGGTGCCGACATACAGGAACGTGCCGGCAGTAAAGGGCAGCAGCATGTCACCCCAGGTCTGTTGCCATGTGAGCATGCGGTGTCGAGAAGCGGGAAATAAATACAAAATTTAACAAGAATGAAAAACGTACCAGACTTGTGCCCCATAGCCCGGCATTGCGCGGCATAGAAGTCTCGCCGTCCGTGTTCCCGCCGCCAAATTCCTGAATGGCAATGCCAATCAGGGTGCCCATCAGCGCGCCAATGGCCGTGACAAACTGCGATGCCATGGCCGCTCGCTTGGAGAAGCCCGACTGCACGAGGAGCGCAAAGTCGCCCACCTCGTGGGGGATTTCGTGGAAGAAGACGGCGACGGTGGTGGTGGCGCCAATGGTTGGCGACGCATAGAAACTGGCCGACATGGCGAGGCCGTCGGTGACGTTGTGCGTAAAGTCGGCGCTGCAGAGTTGTCTCGTTAGCATGGGGGCTATTACAATCCTTTTCCCTTTTTTCCCTCTCTTCTCTCTACTATCTTTTTGTAATTGAGGTGTGGGAATTCAGCTACTGACATCAAGTTGAGGTACCCCCCCAGTTTCACGCTGGGATTCACCTCCTTGTGCTGGTCCTCGCCGGGACCGTCCTTCTTGCCCTTGCCCTTCTTGCGCGGCTTGACGTGCCCGTTTCCGGAGCCAGTGTCGGCGCCGCTCGCAGCTGCCGCCGGCGTCGTCGTCGTCTGGGCATCAGCCTCGTGGGCGTGTGCCTGCGAGTGGTGGTCGTGGCCCGCGCCGCCGGTGGCGATCCTCAGCCCCTTGTCCATGGCGACAAACGTCATGAACCCAACGAGGATGGCCAGCCCCAGGACCAAGTTCCTGTTGGGCTCGACAAGCACGAACCTGGCCCTGTCGGACTCGTCCTCGCCCAAGAAAATCTCGGGCAGCAGGTGGAACAGCGTGTCGCCCAGCAGGCCGCCGACGGCAAAAGCGACCATGACGCTCAGCGACGACGGGTCAATGTTTGTCGGGCACAGCGCCAGCAGGAAGTTGGGCGGGCCGGAGATGTACAGCGTCGCGAGGAGGGCGTTTACGGCGGGAGATCCGGGGAAGAGGATGGCGAAGAGGCGCGTCGTGAGGGACGAGGGCGCGGCGGCGTGCTGGGCGTGCTTGATGGCCGACAGCTCTTGGACGATTGGGCACGTCTGTCATGGCGCTCGTTAGGATGATTCGTGGACCGGGCGACGAGCCATGCTGAGCAAGGCGAGGTTTTTCACATACCTGGAGTTGATGGTCGAGGTCGTCAAGGCTCAAGCTCTCGAGGGCATGCTTGCTGACGAAGTTTTGCGGTGCCGCGAGCGCGCAGGCTGTCAGGGCAAGGAGCAGCCAGAGGGCTACTCGTCGCGCCATAGTCTGGCAATTGGTTCGTAGGAGTGCGAGAGGGCTCGGAAACGAAGGCAACGGGGCTATCGGGGACGAGAATTGGCGCTGCAACATGGCAATTGAGATGCGAGAGTTGTCACGAGCTGCTCGTCTGGCCAACTTTCATGGGGCGAAGAAGCCGCCAATCAGAGCGTCGCGCCGCGGAGCTCCGGTAGCTCCGCCCGCTGCATTGGACCCTTGGCCGAGCTCAAGGGTAGGATCCGGGACATGACTGACCACCTTGGAAGGCAAGGGGAGGGGTGCCATGTAACTTTGGTTGCGATTGATAAGAGACGGAGCGACCAGGTTGGGCCATAGCCAATTCATGCCTAGTAACGCGACAGTCATGCAGATTACATGGCCACTGCGGTACTACTAGCAGGGATTGGCATCGGCATCAACAGAAAAGTGACACTCGCGACGACCCGCCATGTCCACTTGGGACTAGTAGCTAAATTACCTACCCTACCTACGTAGGTAGGTAGATAGTAATTATATCACCATTCACACTCACCTCATACAGTTCCACGCCATAAATTAATAATGTATATATTCGTGTTTCATATTGTACGGTCTATATCTATAAGCCATTTCCAACGCAGACCGTACCGACCAATACCCGTGATAACCACAGATGTACAAAGACAAGACCATATGGATTTAGTCTATTCATTAAAACGCATAATTCGGATTTGCATTTCCATAAAGCCATGTTTACAAAGCAGCGACAGCCATGACAGCACCGACAGCAACACCCGCAAAGGCACTCAACTTGTTGCCAGCGTTGGGAGGAACCGTGACACCAGGCAGACCACCGGTACCGGTAGCGGTGCCCTGGCCAGGAACAATGTAAGTGGTGCTGCCGTTGACAACACCACCGCCGTTGATGCCATTACCGCCATTGCTGCCGTTACCGCCATTGCTGCCGTTACCGCCGTTGCTGCCGTTGTTGCCATTGCCGCCGTTGCTGCCGGTGTTGCCATTGCTGCCGTTACTGCCATTGCCACCACTGCCGCCGTTGGCGGTGGTCAGGGTACTTGCCGGGGGAGGAACCGCCGTGTTAGACTGTCCACCCTGCTGGGTGGTACCGGCAGCTGGGACTGTCGTCTGCTGAGCAGTGCTTCCCTGGGCAGAGGTTCCGGCAGGTCCAGTGGCAGTTGGCCCTTGGGACTGAGCAGAAGTCTGGGAGCTCTGGGCGGCCTTGCTGCTAGTGGGCTTGTTCTCGTCGCAAGACAGGTCGTACAGAGGCGTGGTGGTGAGATTGGAGCCAATGACACCAAAGGCAGGGCTGGGGATGGTGGGAGCACCGTCTTGCAGAGTGAACCACCAGACATTGGTGTCGCCAAAAAGGGGGCAGCCGACTTCACGCCAGAAAGTCTGAGCTTCATCGACACCTGGCACTGCAGAGCCGTACGTGGGACCGCTGACAGGCCAGCCCGTCTCCGTGATCCAGACGGGCTTGCCACCGGAGGCGCCCTTGGTGTTGTCGACGGCGGTCCGGAAGAGCTTGGCGGCGTTCTCGAGGCCGTTGGGCTTGGTGTTTTCATAGTAAGGGTAGGCGTCCATGCCGACCCAGTCAATGGCGTCAATGAGGGGCTTGTTGGTCTCGTTGACATAGGCAGTCCAGGTATCGACGTGGCCGATGGAGGCCTTTTCCAGGCATGAGCCCTTGATGGTGTCGCGGACTTGCTTGATGTAGTTGACCAGCTGGGTGGGCGAAGCACCAGGGGCAGGAGAGGCAGCCTGGCCAGTGGGTGAGATACGGTACAAATCTTCAGAGCCGACAGAGATGCCGGCAATAAGACCATCAAGCTGGCCGCAGTACTGGTTAATGGTCGTCTTCAAAGCTTTCAGTTCGTTGGCGAAGGAGGCCTCGCCGGCTGAGGCCCAGAGACCAAGAAGCAGGCTCGTCTTGGTTTTGATAGCGGCAGGAATAGCAGAGATGACATCGCTTCCGGTGCCGCCCTGGACCATGGTGTACAGACGAGCAGAGGTGAAGCGGCCGTTGGTGCCTTCAAGGCCGGCAGCAGTCTTGAACTCATTCTCAAAGTCGGTCTGTGTCTTGGCTATGCCGTTGGTGAAGGTAGAGCCGTAGTTGAAGCCCTGGAAGGCGGCGGCGGCGCCAGAAACGGCGGTAGCCATGGTGAGGAGGCGAGAAGGCATGGTGAGCGAATGTGAATATTTAATACTCTGTATGCTGATGTAAGTGACGCCCTTTTCCTTGCTGGTGTTGAGTCGAGTAACGAAAGACTAGGTTCCTACACTGGTTAAAACGAAGGACAGTCCAGAACAGGTATGAGGAGAGAGGTAGAAACGAAAGAAGAAGAAGAAGAAGAAGAGACGAGACGAATACCACGGATAATAGCAGAAATGGCCAAAACAATCAGTGGGCATGGGACCACGCAGGGGGTCCTTGTTGCCATGTTTGGTTTTGCCAGCCGGACCTATCGGGAGCTGGCTGGCCAGGGGCCGCGCGGACCGGGCATTGTGACGCTTGGCCACGAGAAAGCGACAAAAAAAGGCACAGAACTGGGGACCCCCTGGAGGCCATCGTTGGGCTGTTAGTGGCTGAAGCGCACGACGGAGCGCAGGTTGAGTGGGTGCCGTTGCATTGTTTGGATGTTGGTTGTGGACGGTTGTGGACGGTTGTGGACGGATTCGTCGTGGATGGCTGCTACATGGCTGATTCATGGCCGATGGATGGGTCGTGGCTGGTGGGGTCGAGGCTAGATCGTGGCGAGAAAAGTGGGGGCCATGGCTTGGGCCAGGCGTGCAGTGCAGGCCCGAGTCGGGCAGAACACGAAGAAACATGGACAAACGTCCAAAGAGAAACACGGCGAGTCGGAATCAAGGCCTCATCCAAGGGGCCGACGCAGGTGGTTTGGACCCCGTCACGGTTTTCGCATGACGAAGCCGCACATTTAATTTTACCTGGACGCCAATTGCCCAACAAACAGTCAAACAAATCACATGGCACAATACGAGATTTCTGCCTTCTCTCTCTTTCTGCTGCGGCCAAGCAACGCACCGGGGGTCATTGTGAGAATACGAAGACACCATCACGTCATACGTGGGCAAAGCTCCACCTCTTTTCACGCAAGAAAAACCTGCTCTCGACGCCAGCAATCGAGGATCGAGGCCTGATCAGTGAACTGCCATAATTGCATCCAATACTCCCTTGCCGGGGAAAGTAAAAAAAAACTTTCTCGCCCTCCCTCTCAGGCACGCGTAATGGACTGGTACGTACTATGGCTGTATCCACGGCCTAGCCTAGGACTGGCCATGTCAGATGCGACTCTGCCGAGTGCTCGGCGGTTGTCTGCTCCATGCCACTCATTCCACATGCCACTCATTCATGATTGTTGCATGATTAGTGATTGGCACCCTCGATGCCAATTGAGTTTGACTGGTGCATGGGCAGGTGCAATCATTGTTGATATTTGTGCCGTGTTCCGCCGGCTCCATTCTCAAGATACACACACAGGGGACGGAGTAACCGCGAGTCCAATATATAGAGCACCCCCCCATGAAGAAATCCCCCGCCAGCCGTCGATACAGATCGGCTGGATGCCTTTAAAGGAGAAAATGCCCATATAACATGCCACGAAAAGCAAAAGCAGCAGCTCGACTTCCGTCCACAACCGTAATCATGCTCTCCAAGCCGCAGAAACGATGCCGTTCGGACACCACACCCTGGCATTATGCATACACCATCACCAGCGTTTGGCCGTTTGCCAACCCAAGGGCAAAAGCCCTCAAAGCTCTCCCCTCCAACACCCAGCCCAACCGCCGACGCAAACATCCCCCCAAGCCCATTGCCAGAAGAAGGCCAGAACCAAAACAGCACATGCCAAGCAGAGCACACCCCAGCCCAAGCGCGTAGCCGCCTTCACCACAATCCGCCTCGACACCTGGTCCAACATGCCCAGCATCTCAGCCCTGTCGTTCACCCTCGGAAACGGACCATCAGGGACAGCAACATTCAGAAACTCGCACAGCGGGCCCCATCCGTCCCTGTGCCTAAACTCGAGCACCTGCTCCCGCGGGACCTCCCTCCTCACCATGGCGTAGTACTCGGCGTGAGCAGCATCCATCTTTGCCCACGCCTCCCCCCTCGACCCGGCGCCCAGCCAGCCCATGATGATATCCTGCAGAATGTACAACACCGGGAAGCCGGCCCAGGGCCCCAGCACGCCCAGCGTGTATCCCCGAGCGCCGCAGCAGAAACCGTCCATCACGACCTCTCCGAAACTGGCCTTCCACGCATCGACAGGCCGCTCGACCAAGATGACCTTTGCCTCGGGATACGCACGTACAAGCTGCTGGGTGTAGAAGCTCCCCACGTCCGTGACGGCCCTCTGGCCCCCAACCAGCCTGTTCCAGTCCCCTCGCGTCCACGGAAGCAGGGCATCCGCGGCATTGATGTAGAACGGCAGCTTCCTGGCCGCCTGCAGCCTCGCCGTCCGGAAGTAGGGCAGGGCATGCTGCACCACGCGGCCCGGCCCCAGGCGTAGTACTCTCGGGGGTCTGTGACGTAGAGCCCGTGGTGCACGGGGCCGAGGCCGAGCGTCGTGAGGGCCGCTGCGAGGGATGCCGTGCCAGACCGGGGGAGCGCCGCGCATATGATGCCGTGGCCCGTGGCGAAGCACTCTTGTTGTTTTTCCATGGCTGAGAGGGGGAATCTGCGTGTCTCTGGTGTGTTTTGGTGCCTGTGTCTTGTCTTGCCGGGCATGAGGGGAAGAAGGAGGCGTCATCTGGTCGTGTTGTCTACTATGTAGTTCCCGTGGTGACACTGCATGAAGCGCAAGCCAACGCCTGCCCTTTTGCCCGATGAGCACTGTGTCTGACTGGTAGCAGAGTCATAGGACATGTGTTGCAAATTTCCTACTCTGTCGATTCAAGAAGCTGCTGGGCCAACGCGGCGCCGACGTATTCCTTTTGTCCCTTGGCTATAAAAGAATAGAAATGGAGACGGCAATGAGCCGGTTTCTTCAACGTCACCTCTTGGCTCTTCCTATGCCTGAGATTCTTCATTTGCTCATTTGCCACTGGAGCCCGCAGAACATGTACGCACCAAGTTGCACTGGTATTAAAACTGGTCCTATTCAGCCTCGCGCCACAGTTAGACTGCGTAGTTTGAGTTATCCAGCCTGACAAGTTATCAGGCACTGGGGCATGGAGTCGGGCACAGCAACATATATGCCATTGCCAGTCAAAGGCATGTTCAACGCCTTTCATTACTACCACTGCTGTGTGTACTAACACTGCGCTACAACACGACCAGTGATCGCATTTCCCATCCATCATTACACCTTTTATACAAATCCCCTGATGCCTCTTAAGCCAGAAGACTTCTTTTCCTTCTTTGGCTTTCCTGAAGCGCTGCTGCCATCGTCCTTGCTCTTGTCTCTCGAGTCCCGACGAAGTCGACTCTGTAAGCCGCCTTAATATCGTTAGTCAAAATTCATCCTCTGTACCTTGTATTGGGGACTTACTAAAAGTTCGCTGGTCAGGAGAAATGGGACTCCCCGAGGCTTCGGCCTGGGAACCATTGCCCTCTTTTGTAAGTGTGCTACCAGTCGTAGTCCCGCCGGACTGTGACCCCCCGGCCGACTTCATGTTGTGGCCTGTTGCTTCTGCATTAGACAATGCTCGATGTGGCCGGGCCTTGACAACAACTGGACTGGTTGACAATGACAGATAGTCTGCGTCCGTTGGTTGGTGCTGAGATGCCGTTGCCCGTGGTTGCTCTGGTGGTTGTTCTGACTGCATATCCAGCAATGACGACTGCAGTGCTGTATACTTGCGCATTAGGAGAGAATGCTGTTTCTGCAGTTCGGCTTGCTTTGCCCGACTGGCCGCCAAAGCACTTTCTACAGCGATATTCGAGTTGGTCCCAGGCCGTTCGCGCTCCTCCTGCGCTTCAGAAAGTTGTGTCTGAAGAGCCGCAACTTGCGACTGGAACAATTTCTTCACGCGCTGCACCTCATTTTCCTGCGCATCTAGCCTCATCTTCAGAGCCTCAGCCCGGCTCTCTGCCTTTGTGGCAGAGTTTATCATCTGTTGACGTTCCAACTCCCTTGCTTGATGGTCTCTCTCAGACCTCGTCAGCCGCTCGACTTCTGCCTTGAGGCGGTCGATTTCGGCGCCGTGTATTTCAATAGACTGCATGTTTTGTTTCCAGTTAAGTTCCTTGACTTCAGCGGCGCAAAGCAGCTTGCGGAGCTTGTCGCCTTCTTGCTTGGATTCCTCCAATTCACGCTGCAATGCTTCAATTTCGGCCTGCTTCTTCTTGGACTTGTGTCGCAAGTCTTTCAACTTGTTAGCCAAATCGGCTTCCCATTTCTTCGCCATGGCGCGACTCTTCTCCGACTCCTTTTTGACCTGCATCTCGGATTTTTTAGCATCCTCGAATCGGCTCTTGAGATTTCGGTTCATCATAATCAAATTTTGCGTCTCGGCTTCTGTTGCTGCTTCAGCCATCTGCTTCCGGCGAAGGTCGCCAATATGTGCCATGTGCTGTTGCTTCAAGTAGCGCTCAAAACTCAAGTCATTTTGCAAAAGCAAGATTTGCTTTTGTAAGTGTACAACCTGGGTAGACAATTCCGAGGTTGGAAAGGGTGAGTGCGATGTAAGCGGAAGCGACGCCGTTGCTGCTGATGCTGTTGGAGCACTGGGAGGGGCTTTCTCTGCGACCGAGTCCTGATGGCTGAGAGCAAGCGATGCGACGCTGTCGTTGGCCAAAGATTGGTGCAAACCTGATTTGATGGCCTTGTTAGACTGAATTAGGTCTTGCAACTGGGGGTGGGACGGCGATAGTGTCAAAGTCGGGCTATCTGTACCACCCGTTCTCGACCGCCCGTCGCCAGTAGAATCCCGATGTGATGGCACGCTTGACTGTGAGCTACGACGCATTACAGTGACTGGTGTCTGGTTGCTTGAGACGGAGTCTGAAGTCGTCAGATGTGAGTTGCGCCAGCTATCATGCTTTCCACCCCAGCCGCTCAATAAGGCGGCATCGGCCTTGGACTTTTCCAACACGCCATTATCAAGAGATGTAGTGGTGTTGACACCCGCAGGGCTGGAGCCAGGCATTCCCGCAGAACTCAGATCAGCAAAGTTGTACAAGTCCGTCTCCAGACATAAGCTCATACACTCAGACACGACCTCGGCAGCCTCGCTCTTTATCCAGCGGCCAAAGTCGGTCTTTTCAGAATCAATGGTGAGAGAGTAGAAATTGGGATGCAACAGATGGTTTCGCCGGAACGTTTCAGACCGATGGCGCATCTCGGTTGGCTGGACCTCTACTTCGTCTGCATTAGCAGCATTGGCATGGCGCAAGTATCTCTGTGGTTTGCGAATATAGTCCATAAAGTTGATGGGATAGAGGCCGTATAAAATGGTGTAGTAATTGGGAAGGTGAGCGATGGATTGGTCGTCGACGTCCGGGTCAAATGTTGCCACCTCCCATCCAGGAGCTGGTTCAGGGCCGACCCCGTCACTTTCGGGCCACTCGGCCGGTCTCGAGCGTTCTCTGTCCCAAAAAAGAAGGCGGCCGTAGATGTTGAACAATGCAGGTAAATGCGGCACCAAAGAGCTCGGCATGTGTGGCAGAAGCATGATGAGAGTCGTCAACGCAGCGGACACAATGGTTGTTGACGTGTCATGCTGCAAACAAGTCAAAAGATTACCAAACAGAGATGTATGCAGAACTTGGTGTAGATGTGGTGGTTGAATCTGAATAAAGTCACAAAGAAATCTCAGCGCCGACTTGCGATACTTGCTTTGAACAAAATATCCGTCCATGGCGGTGAAGAGCTCCTTGGGTCGCTTCTTCCCGAAATTACACAAGGCGTGGCGGATCAGCCTCTCATTGTACTCGGACGAAGTGTTGCCATCCAGAAGAGCTGGGTAGAAGCGATCCATCCATACTTGGAACAGGCGGTCTATGATGCGGTTAGCAGCCGAGTTGGCTGCAAATGAGATTTGAAACTCGTCGATAAGAGTTATCAGATCCATGAGGGAGGCCACAGTCTCATCCACGACATATTTATCTAGATCGGGCCTGTCCAAGATGCCCTTGCATGCATCGAACCACGGCAAAATTCTTTCTGGAGTCTGCAGCACCGGCAGCAATCGTCGAAGGATGGCGATCCATGGGCCTACAGCCTTGGCATTGCCCTTGACTCGCTTATCAAAGACAGAGAGCAGGTTATCTTGGAGGAGGTCGGCAGCGGAATTGTCATATTCTTCTTGCTTTTGGGTGAAGGTGGTGAGGGTGTCGACGAGGGTATCTGGAAGAGGGAGAGACGGGTCGGCGATGAAGGTACTGATGGTCTTGACGAGCTCTTTTAACGACCTGCAGATATTTGACTCGGTCAGACAAAGCGTGTGAGCAGGGGCCATGATGTCTCAGAGAAGGCAGCAGTGACATACGTTGTGGAAGCCATCGTAAAGGCTCCCGCGCCGCCGGCATGAGGCGCAGACGATGAGTATGCCGGCTTCTTTCGACTATCCGAGAAGGATATGAGTGGAGTTTGGACTGCTTGCAGCCGGACCCGGAGCTAGATGGTGCCCGGAGCTCGATCAAACGGATACCGGCCGATGGAGGATGCTATTGACGCATGGGTCTGAGCTGGTTGGAATCATTGGATGGTGGTGCCGTGGTTGTCAGACTCGAGAGCTTGCGCCGAGCTTGTTGCAAGGCTGGAAGTGGGCAAGCACCAGGTCGGCAGCAACCACTTGGAGGTGAGAGGTGGGGTAGACAAAGTGCGGCGCACATGTGGGGCATATTTGCGTCAGGCGGACACATGAGTGGTCAGTGGTCAGGGCAGTCAATGCCAGTAGGAGGATGCCAGCTGTCGGCAGTGCGTCTGCAAACCACTGCTTTGGAAGGTCAGAGCCTCAGATGTGAGGCACTCACTAACTCAGGCAGCGAAGGGTAATTGAGCCTCGAGGCCATGAGTGTAACGATGGTAATGAAGGCCGCCTCTTCTGTCAGGTACCACAGCCGTCAAGCATGGGCAAACAATGGGAAACGTGCTCAACTGCTCATCACGGCATCAGCAACATACGACTCCACTTCTAACCTGACAGCTCTGCAGGCAAAAGGACACATCAATTGATCTGGGGACCCTCTTTCGCCCCTAAACCCCGCAAATCGAAGACGCTTGACCGCATGACCCGTGGCCCGACCCCACGAACTAAGCTGGCATGGTTTGGGACTGCATGGGTCCATAGGGTGACGGAATGAAGTGATGCGAGGTGGGACGATGGGAGGTGTTGGACAGCTGATGCTGAGGTGTTGGACGGTATCCGAGACGGTACCCGAGTGGCCTCACTTTAGACAGCAGTCTGCAATGGCAATGGCCTTGGACTCCGCTCAAGGACTCGAGCACCTCGGTGAACTACCTGACCGAGCCCAAGAGACTTCTAAATGCCTGCCGGCGCGATTCGATGGAATGACCACAGGGCGGGTCGTCGGATCTAACACGACGCCAAAGGTAATGATTGCCGCATCGAGCCACGCTGGCCCCTCTTTGATGTACGCAGCCCTGGTATGTCGAAACGGCACATTGGTGACTCGTGGTTCGACATGATTGCTTTCTGATCAATTGACGGTCAATGGCCCAGGAGATGGGTTCAGTGCCGTCCAATTGACAATATGGTATCCATGGACAGAACCATTCTGTATTTTGTAGTCTGCCCACTCCGTGGCGGTGGGTTGGAAGGCACGCAGGTGGTCACGATGCGTCTTGGGACCTCCGGAGGCGGCGCCTCGTCAACGCATGAGCTCCAAACACGATGCCGCTTTCCAGGTCTAGAATGACCATCAGTTGGCTCAATTGCCATCCGGGCCGTTGCCAGCTGCCCAATGCTCAAGCTCAAGCTCCCCGTTCGGCTTGGAGTCTTGGACCCCTCTTTCTGGAGTTGATCGTCTTGCTCAAGCGCTCTCTGTCTTCCTTCCCCGCGTTTGGTCATGTATACATGTCAACTGGTACGTACACCTTGTACTACTGAACTCGGTACCGAGTACTTATCCATCCATCCATCCATCCCACCTCGCATATATACTTCACATCCTCCTCACCTTGTCCTCTTTCCCCCCCTTTCCCTCGTTCTTCCCTACTCATCGACTTGCAACGTGCCGTCTTCTGTTACCCATTGACCCTCATCAGTCTCACCAAAGGCCCTTCCCAAGCTCACTCGACCATTTCGATTCTCTGGTCGCTTTCACACCGTTAACAGCTTCAATACACCACGCCACCACGCCGCCTAACCCAACACATAACAAAGTCACCACGTGTCCTGTGACTCACTGACACGAACCTCCCCACACCCTTCAATCCAAACATCTACACTTCAATACCGGCAAGATGGCTGCACATAAGACGTCCGCAGTGGCGGACGAACCCATTGAAGTCCTCTTTGCCCTGCACAACAAGTTCGATCTTCTCGACCTTGCGGGGCCAATGGAGGTTTTCACCACGGCCCAACACGACCCCAAGGACGAGAGTAAGTTGACTTGCATGGCTATTTCTTATTCTTTCACGTAAATGATATTGTTGCTAACTTCCAACAGCCTCCAAGGCGTTCGAAGTGACTCTTGCCGGCGCTGAGCCCAAGGTCCTTTCTGAGCAGGGAGCCATTGTTGGCTCTCAAATCTCCTTCAAGGAAGCCCACGAACGCCTCGAGGACTTTGATATTCTCGTCATTCTTGGTGGCAATTCCGACGAGATCCTCAAGGCAGATTCCGAGCCACTTGGACTCATCAATAACTTTGCTGAGCTCCAGAAGAAGGATCCTGCCCGTGAACGCACCATCCTTTCTGTGTGCACGGGATCTCTTTTCCTCGCCAGAGAGAACATCTTGTCTGGCCTCTCCGCTACCACTCACCCCGACTACTTGACCAAGTTCGAGAATGTTTGCAGCGATGCTGCTACTCGTAACATGACTGAGCGTACCGACGTTATTGAAGACGCCCGATACGTCGTCAACAACCTCCGCTTCGACCTCGGAGACGAGGATGAGAATCCATACATTCGCCGCAAGTCAGATGCTGGGCGTCGTCCCTCGAATGCTCGGTAAGATTCGCCCTCAAGGCGGATGCTACTTGTGTGTGTGTGAGTGAGTGTGACGTTGCTAACAAGTTCGCAGAAAGGGCAGCATGTCTTTCAAGGGCTCCAACTCTCGCCGTGAGTCTATTGCGCGCCGTGCCGCGATGCGCCTCGGTGGTCTTCGTGTCATCACGGCTGGAGGAGGAAGCGCTGGCGTAGATGCAGCTTTGTATCTTGTCAGCGCTTTGGTTGATGAAGAATGTGCGGTGGAGGCTGCCAGGTTGATTCAGTGGACCTGGAACAAGGGCGTAGTCGTCGACGGTCTCGACGTCTAACATGCTCATGCTGGCAGAACGTGTCGGCGATTGAATCGTGGTCTGCAAGTGTATCATCCCGCAAGGAAGGGATTGGTAGTGGGCCACGACGGTGTAGGAAGACCGCAATATCCTGTGTGACTCTAGTATAACTTGTAACGTACTCCAATCAATTGAAATGAATCTATGACTGTATATGTCTGTTCTACGCCAGGGGTGATGTTCCTAGTTTCCAGTGAAAGGATATACCCGAAGCTCACGGCGCGAGTGCTTGTATCTTATGACAGTGGATAAACATGCGATCAGACAAGACATGGAATGGGTATTGGACACGCTAGGAGAACATTTGCAACACACTCAAACATGCAAGGCCATGGATTGCCGTTGACGGAGCACTACGAACGCTCCCACGACACGGCGGTGCACAGCACAGCAAACCACTCAAGTGAATACAGGTCGGAGGAGCAGAGAAGACTTGGATCCGCTGCCAAGTACACACACACACACACACACCTGCAAAAGACCAAAACGTCAAAACGAAATCACAACCCCGCAAAGCAATGCCTCAAAGCTCAAAATGAGGATGGCAAGTTGTAATCTGAAGCAGCGACTCGGACTCATTTATATTTTCACGCAGAGGAGAGATGGAGATGGGCTTGAGTTGCACATGAGTTTGAATGCTGGACTCTTTTCCCTGTCCCCGGGTGCGTTTTTGCTCAACGGAGGCCGGGCGGACGTATGGCCCCGGGTGAATCGCCGAGGTGTGGATTCCGGAAGGCTACCGTTTCGGGTAGTAACTGTTCGTTGTGGGGCGAGGGTGGCGATGCGTGGGAACATGGAAGCGGTGGGAGAAAAATGGTAGAGATGAGACAAGGGAATTGGTTTCTTCTTGACTCTTTTTTTCTTTCTCAGAAGGGTCAGTCGTTTTATTTCCGGGCCCTCAAGTCCGTTGCGTTCGTAGTGTTGCCTCATGCGGGACCGACTATAACAGAAATATCGGTAGTGGTCAACGCAGTTCCTAGAATGGAACATGTTTAAATATTCTTTTCTGCTCGTAACACTTCTCTCGTTCCGTCATCTCGGCCAAGAATCAACGCGGCATCAGCAAAATTGCCGATTCTCCTTGCAACTGTGCAGTAGCAAGCAATAGCTTCCCCGAGTCGTGCCTTCAAATACGCTCTTGTCCCAACACAAGCAGTTCTGAAAACCACACTGACGAATACACGCAACTACAGAAATGTGCATCTCCCATATCCACCATGACTAGCAACCTCCATCTCCTCCACCTCCACCACCTCCGTCGCCGCCTCCGCAACCACCACCATCACCACCACCATCACCACCATCACCACTGTAACCGCCATAACCACTATAAGCAGCATAGCCACCATAACCACCATCACTACCATACGAACCACCCCCACCTCCGTAACCGGACGAATACCCGTGGTTGCGCTCCTTTTGCGGTTGCGGCGGCAGCGTACTGGGTTTCAGTTGCCTGTCACGGCACTGGGCCATGGGCACGGGACGCGCATTGTAGTGCTGCGTATTGCCATCCAGCTGCTGGCTCCTGTCTCGTCGTGAGGGCCAGCACATGTTGCGGCTGCCGAGTTGATTTGTAGATTGTAGGACAATTGTCAGTAGAATTTTTCATCCGAATGTATCCTTGAACCAGTGTATAGAAAGAACAGAGTCATAGGCAGCGGCATAAACGCCTGAATGCTAGCAGTTGTCCGATCTGAGCTTGGGTATATATGCTCTGATGGTACCCCGAACTGCAGGGGCATCGACTGCTGTTAAATAGTCGAATAACTCTGGCCTGGAGAATTGTCACGGGGGTAGCGACCGTCATTCACAAGCATGACATGACGAGTTTCTCGCTACATCACTAGTCTATTCGGCTTGGTGCACTGACGCTGAATCCCCAAAGGAGACTAAATCCGCCCGAGTTTCGGCTGGTTAGTTTTGTGCGACATGATTCATCGTCCATGGGTGGTGCCTGGTCGGGCAGGGCGTGACCTTCAAATAAGCTTAATCCGCCTCATTTTGACTTCATGTCAAAATCCAGCATTGCTCGTCATCATACATTTGCTCTACCCAGTATCTCGCCGGGCTTGTATCCCCACTCTGCCTCCAGATCCCGCAAACGCCATAATGCTCCCCACCCTGTAGTCCGATCAATTATACGGAATAGCCTTGCGACTTGAGCCTGTTCGCTCGGATGGGTGAGCAGCCGCCCCGCCAGATAGAGCGGCTGGATAGCATTAATGAGACTCGCCTTGTGTGGGTTCGTCCATGATATTCCGCAGACTCGTCTTGCATGCCAGATGGGCGAGCTTTGTGGAGACGGCAGTTGTACTTCTGCCGGCCGTGTTTCCAGCATTAGGATACATGCCGCGTGATACATCTGATTAGATGAGATGGCCGGGTAATTGGAGAATAAAATGGTGGGAAAGACCTGCTCTTGGAACGGCTCCGGCGGCGGCGCTGTGCTAGTTGGTAGCATTGACCACGGCCTTGATTCCAGCCAGAGTTGCAAATCGCCCCATAGCCTAGTCCATTGCTCGATGAACGGCCTGGTATCTAACTCGTCTGGTTCTTGTAGCTCTAGGACCCTCGCCCTCCGGTACGTCAGGTCGCATGCCTTTGCACACAGATACACGGCCCAGTTGGCATGCATACCGGTATTATCCCGCCCGCTCTGATAGAAAGTTGTCCGTGCAAATTCGTCAATTTCATCATTGGTTGCGACGCCCTCTGGCAACGGAGGGATCCATTTATTCAGCGGCAGGACTGTACTCTCTGCACCACCGGATATGATGGCTCCGCAAAGTTCCATGCGTGCATAGCACCAGAAGACTGCTTGCAGCAGGCCGCCCGAGAAGCCGGTAATCTCGAAGAATTCAAACAAGCTAGCACAGCCTTCGATGTGGCGGCGCCAGTTGCGAGGGCTGCCGGACATGAGCTCCAAGACGGCGAGTACACAAGCCGTCACCAGCATGTTGGAGTCCCTGGCTTGCAAGCTGGCGGCAAGGAGCCTGATAGACTCCTGATACAGTTCCAAGCTGTCGTAACTCTTTTCCAAGAGTGCTTTTCGCTCTACCTGACGCGCGGAAAAGGCCAAAACGGCGTAGAATAATGGTGGTGACCGCTCAGCCATGATGGGCACAAGGATACCAAAGTGTCGTTGATGGTCAAACTTGTCAAGATACGGCGCACACTCGATGATCCAGTTCTTGAAGTAGTGAATAAGCTTGATCTTGGGAATGCCGGGGACCCTGGAGAAGTCAAACTTAGACTGCTGGACTGGGAGTTCATCGCGCGGTCGCTGTTCGTCCGAAATGGACTCGGGAGTAGTGGTCTTCCTGGGATCATGGGAGCTTACGCCTGCAAAGAGGACGCACCGAAGCTCTTCTTGGAGTTTGATGAAACGGGGGTTGGTCGAGTATTCATCGGCAGGGGCCGAGGATGCTGGCGACAGGAATTGTGGCTCGTGGTGGTCGGCCATGGCGCGATGGGAAATGTTGTCTGGCACCAGGCTACTTGAAATTACAGAACGATCATGATCAACGAATACCCTCTGTAGGTGAGCATCGAGATGAAGCTGGAACCGGGAACTGCGGTTTGGATGAAGCTGGAGCAAGGCAGTTAAGAAGATGGAGCACAGATTTCATGCAAGGTTGAGCCGAGTGACAACTGAACTCGAGTACGGTCGCACATTAGCTAAGCTCCGCAAAACCCGCTAAATCAATTTTCTGATTTTACGATTTTACTAAAAGAACTAAAAGGCAGCTGCATTCTCAACCCATAACGCTTTATATAAAAAAAGAGCTATAATAAATATAATTACTAAAGGCACGCGATAAAAATGCACCACTTTTTATGCTATTAAAAGTGCTATTAAAAGTGCAGCTAAAGTGTTACGAACGACGCTGCACAAGACACGGGACGGGACCGCA